ATATGAAATAATGTAGTAAGGCTTATATTGTACTGTTTATACTTTTGATTTGTACGAACATGACATCCCGAGTCTTTTAATGAAATACATTTCTATGGAATTGCTTTTGATAAATCTTTATCATATTATTGTTTTGGGACAAATTCCGCAACCCTTTTATTAAAAGATAACTCTGATTTTGAAATAAAGTATAAACAAAACCGGTCTTTTCTGGCCGTGATTTTGGGGATATCACAACTCAGCCGCGTTCCAGGCAGCTGTATCTGCTCCGGTCACCGCAACAATGGCACAAATTCACCAAGGGAACAATGGAGGAGTCAACGGGCAAGGGGCCGGAAGTTCGAACAACAGAATGAATCAAGGACCCGCCAAAACATGTTCTTACAAAGACTTCACCAACACCAAACCACGAACCTTTAACGGCACTGGAGGAATGATCACCCTGAAATGATGGATCGAGAAGGTGGAATCGGTGTTCGAGATATGTGATTTCCCTGAAGAGATGAAGGTGAAGTATGCCGCATGCACTTTCGTTGACCAAGCGCTCACTTGGTGGAACGGACACGTGGAAGTCATGACACTCCCCGTAGCCAATTCCATGCCATGGGCAGAAATGAAAGAAATGTTGATGGTCGAATACTATCCTCGTGGCGAAATACAGAATATGGAACAAGATCTGTGGAATCTCACTGTCTGGAACGCTGACATAGATGCCTACATATCCAGGTTCAGCGAACTGTCTCTGTTATGCCCTAGCATGATTACCTCAGAGGGTAAGAAGATCGAGCGATTCATCTGGGGAATAACCTCCCCGATCCAGGGAAATGTAATAGCTACAAATCCTGAAACTTTCGACAGTGCCAAGAGATTGGCCAAGAAGTTATATGACCACTGTAACACCCATAGATCCGGGCTAGTCAATTTAGAGGTAATAGGGGTCGAAAATGACTTTTCGACAAAAGATTATTTAGAATAAATAATCATAACCAAGTTGTATAATATGTCACAAGGTTTCCGTACATATAAAGAGCGTCGAAATCCGAGTTATAACGAAGAAGTTATGACTCGTCAAAGTTTCGCAATGGAACCGACACGACACCGGGAAGCGTAAATAGTGATTTTACGATGGATGAATTTTTAGCCTTAGTCATCTAAAAGAAAGTCGTAGAATATGTTAAACTGAGAAAATCCATAAAAAGAACACCCAAATCTGACTGCGTATGAAGAAGTTATGATTTTTCTAAGATTCGGCTTAGTAGTGCACGACCCGAAACTCGAATTTTAGTTCGAGCGGTTTTTGTGTGACATCCCGGAATTTAGGGCATAGATTTCAAACGACTAAACTACGACAAATCTATTTGTAATTAATTCATTCAGCTTTAACTGCATCTAATGAAATATAAATGAGTTAATTTCAATTATTATATAATATTTGATGATATTTTTATGCCCAAACGTGTAAACTGGTAACCCAATCAAACCGCTCAACTACAGCGCTGACTAATGCGTCTGAAAATTGAAATTTAACATTTTTCATTTTTGAGCAAAATAAACACAAAAATATGATAGTACATGTTCCCCCATTTCCAAAAATATAAAGAACGTCCAAAACGGAGTTTGTATGCAAAAGATACAACCGCTTTAAGAAAAACGGACAGTAAAACACTGTTATTCGTTAATCGCGTAAACAAAAACGTTCCGTTGAGGCACTTACGCTTTGCCGACGGGAATTCTGAGAGCATTTTTGGAATCAGGATATAGTATATTATTTAATTCCACACTCGAAATAATTTTTACGAAAATATTTACACAAGTCGCGAAAACGGACACCGCGAGCCGTTAAGACGCAAAACTTAAAACGCAATTTCCCGGAGATCCGTAACTCCAAAAATTAATCCGTTTGATGTTCTAGAATCCTTGAATTATACTCTATCTAACGGAGCCTTCGAAAAATAAAATCAATGCACGAATACCGAGAAACCCGATTTTTGTATGTTTTAAACATGTAAGGGAGGCTTAGCCCCATGTGGGGCCCACCCATACTCCAACAGACAAAAAAAAATCTGATCTCTTTTATCTTCACCTCACCCCCACGTGCCATATCTTTTCTTTCTTGCACATATCCTCAAAAGTACAAGGTAAGGGTTGAGGTATGGCTTATTTGGTTTGTGTGTATGGATTTTTACTATAAAAGGAATGCATGAGTGCCTTCATTCGACACAAATCATCAACTTCTTCCCTCTTCTCTCTATCACTCTCTTCCTCCATAAAAGCTGGAAGAACATCCCCTGCCACTCTCAAACACCCACTACCACCACCCAAAAGCTTCATCCCTAAGCTTAGTTTGTTATTTCCTTCGATCCCTGGAAGCTTTTCCATACCCCTGCATCGAAATCCAACAGAAATGAGGAAAAACGGAGGTAGCAGTATCAGAACCACCACCCCCGTCAGCCTCCTGTTGCAGCAATAACCACCGATCGCCACCACTTCTGGCCTCCATTTCGTCACTAGTAAGCCATCTCCACCCCCCTTGATTTCGTTATAAGCTTCCATGTATCTAGAACTATAATAATAATAATAATAATAATAATAATAATAATAATAATAATAATAAACCGCTGCAAGATTTTTATTTATTTATTTATTTTCTTTCTTTCGTTTGCGTATCACGTCGGGGAAGAAGAACAGGAGGCATATGCCTCCTGTTATAAGCTTGTATACAGTTCAAACATCATTGCAAATTAAATATATATAGTCCCCATACTTTTAAATTGCCTGAATTTAGTCCCTTGAAAGTTATTTCAAATGTAAGATTTAAACAATAAAAGTTTGATAAGAATGTTTAAAACTTACTTTAGGATGGAAAAATCATTTCAAAACAAATCAAACTTTATATACAAAAATTAAATGAAAAATGTTTATACGTATATTTTAGAAATTTTAAAGTTGATTTCAAATAAATTAATTTTGGTTATTTAAATACTTGCGGAAAAATAATAAATTAAATTTTAAAATTTATTTAAAATAATTATAAATTTTAAATTGGCAAAAGTTAGGGAATTATTCAAGAAATTGTTATAATACTTAATCACGTCCAAATATTAATACATATCGAATTTCTAGGAAATCGAACTAATCCCGGAGATCACGACCTCACGGCAATACATTCTGGTCTTCAGAACTACTCGTTTACCACTCAATAAGGTGAGAGTTACGGCCCCTTTTAATATTTTATTTTTTGGGGGAGAATACATGTGCTATATATTATTTATGATACAAATATATAAGTCTTATATGATATGCATGCTACAAATTTAAGTTATAAATACTTCCATCATGCATAAGACTTTACACACTTATACAAGATCGTTATGTTAAAATACATATCTCTATAAAAGCAAGTAATTTATACTTTATAAATACATCAACCATACTCGACTTTACAAATACTATACTATGAGTTTCATTATGCCCAGTACTTATCTATAATTAAGTTAGGGCTGAGAGTTATTCACAAACTTTGCGTTAATGGTTTTTGAGTGAGACGCTACTATTCATTAGCTGAGTTTAATCACTTAGCCTGCCCCACACTGCTATAATCGTTAATCTTCGGAGCGAGTTACATATATATAGATCTATATAGGGTTGACAACCCCACCTGCGGTTGCTAGCTACAACCATCGACTGATCAATCGAAGCAGGTGATATGTGTCTACGATCGTTACTACGATGTCCAATGAAGCGTCGTAGGGAGGGGTACCTTTCGTCTATAGCTCGATTATAGAACTCACTAAAAACATTAACACGAATCTCTCTCACTTTTTCACTACAACCATAGGTTTGGTTGCTTTTAGAAATGTTTTTAAGTATGGTGGTTACTTATACAATGGATATGTTTAAACCTTCATGAAGTTATTACAAACACATTTTCTTCAAAAGCATAAAATTATTTATAAAATTAATTTTTAGCTTTTAAAGACTCATGACAAGCATTGTTTCAACTATCATACTATACTATATATATATATATATATATATATATATATATATATATATACTCTTGGACTTTTGAAAGTATTATTACTGCGGCTAGCAGAAAACCTGTGACTCTCACCAACCTCGTGTTGACTTTCAAAATACATGTATTCTCAGGAAATCAGTGAAATTTCGGGCACACTCAGACGATGGAAAACTTGGCTCGCAAGTACTTTAATTTTCTACTTTTGAACTGTTATGCCTAACTGTTAAGGCAAACTCGTATTATTATTTTATTACTATCTGTAAGAACTTTGTATGAAAACATAAACATGTAATGAAATGTTGTTTTGTTTATTGTTGTACTTGTGCTGTATATTCAATTTACCTGTGATCCATGAACTTAGTCGCACAGCCCGGCATGTTCCGCCGCCTCGGCCGGGGGTGTGACAGATTGGTATCAGAGCTAAATTGGCTATAGAGAACTCGTATCCTCGAAAGAGGAATACAACTATAGCAACTAGCTTCTTATAAAAGTATTATCAATAATAAAACTACTTCCCGACTACTTACGGTATGGTAGTTGGGAAGTACAAAACAAAGATTAATAATACTACAAACCCCACCAACCTTAATATGTAAGAGTTGATATATATACCCTGACCCACGATGAGAACACTTAATAAAAATTCTAAACATCCCTTCAACTAAAACTACCAACTCAACCCTTTAGGTCAAACGCCTCAATTAAAGGTTAGTATCGTACATAAGCCATACCACAAATAAACCTGGAACGCGCGCCTATGTTATTTATGGTCGGGCCGGTGCACAACCAACCTTGAGCAAGGAGTTTGACAAGCTACAACGGTTGAGAGTTTTAGAAGTTGAAGAATATCCATCAGATTCGTTGCTGAAGCTTAATACCTTAGAATCCTTTTATCAACCTTAAAACTCTTATAAAAATAAAAAAAATAAAAAAAAACCTTATACAAATTTACTAAACCGCTTGAAACCCTTCTATGTAGATGGCTGGACTACCGGATAACCCTGATGACTGGTTTCGACTTGAGGATCCTGATGAGCCATTTGGAGTTCCTTTGCATCCACATCCACTACACTTAGCGGGGGATCCGTACTTTCCCCATGACGGTCTTGAGGAGGAGGATCCCGAAGAGGATCCTGAGGAGGATCCCGATGAGGAGGAGCTCGAGAATGAGAGCATATTTCAGGATGCCCAAGAGACTGATGATGATGGTCCTGCAGAGGATGAGGGAGACCTCTCCGAAGAGGAACCTACTCCCCTTACCCCACCAGACTCACCACCGAGACCCCACTACCAGCCGTACCTTCTGCGCGGCAAGGGCCCTTGTATGATGAGGACCCCAGGAACTACTATATCTCCTATTTACCACTTGGACCCAGCTGCTCAGGTTTCCCGACCCACTAGTGGTCTATTAGGGAAACGTAATCGACCCAGTGAGCCATCTTGGCTCACAGACCTCCTTAGCAGGAGGGATGCTACTGATCTACCACCACGGTTTGAGGTTGGTGAATCTTCACGAGCACCACTCAGGTTTAATCCTGAGGATGATCCGATACCTCGCTTGATGACTCAGATTGATCAGACCGAGGATAGGATTAGATCCTTGGAGCAGTTTGTGAGAGGTCCAGGCTCTACTTCCCTCGACCATCGAGTTGAGACACTCGAGGAAGAGGAGAAGGAGAATTCTGATGCGATCCAGATATTATATCATCTCTCGGGTGCTGATCATGATGCAGTGAATGCCTTGAGTGCTCAGGTAAGAGCACAGAACTACCGGATTCAGATCATGGAGAGCGAGCTTGCTGCGCAGCGAAATCAGTTGGTTATCTCTGCGCAGGAACGACGCTACATCTTGGACCAGTTCGAGGACTTTGTCCTCTATGTGATGACTCGATTTGGGAGGTAGATATCTAGGACAACTTGTGTCCTAGGATAAGGTTAGGACTTTTGAGGAATAGCTTTTGTATTGCAAGTGTTTATCACTGCCTGGTTTGTAATAGCTCTTTTGAAAAGCTTTTCTATTTCTAACCTTATATGGTTAAAACTTTGTAACCAAAACAAGCAGTTCTGATGACAATGTTTCTGTGTTTTATTAAATGTTTGTATTTATTATGTATTGCTTGCAAAACTCTATATATCAGGAAAAGCTTTCATTTTCTGGTTTCGCAAGAAAAACAAATTGAACAAATACAAAATACACACACATTATAACTATATGGTTTAAAAAAAATTAACTTACTTATCTAACGTATTAGGATAATGCCTCGACGAAAAGAACCACGAGTTCGTCCACCACCGACTCCCCGAACTAACAGGAGAAGTGCTCCAGAGATAACTCAAACAACAGAAGAAACTCCAGACCCTGAAGAAACCCCAAGTGCTACAAATAACCACCAAAATTTCCAGATGGATCCCACCATGATGCAGAACATGCTTGCACAAGGGATTGCTACGGCCTTGGCGACTTATGAGGCAGCTCGAAACGGGAATACTGGAAATAGCGGAAGTGGTACTCCTGTAGTTGCCCAAAGAAATCCCAAACACTGCTCATACAAAGAATTCATGGGTTGTAAACCCCGATCCTTCTACGGAACTGAAGGAGCTGTTGGCCTATCCCGATGGATAGAGAAGATTGAAGCTGTCTTCCACATCAGCTCTTGCCCGGATGACTGCAGGGTTAAGTACGCTACCTGCACACTGATGGATGCTGCCTTAACTTGGTGGAACAACCATGCCAAGACCGTGGGAATTGCGGAAGCCTATGCCATGGGATGGGAACAGCTGAAACTAATGATGACTAAAGTGTATTGCCCACGGCAGGAGATTCAGGCATTAGAACAAGAACTCTGGAACCTAACCATGCAAGGATCAGAGGTAGCTGCTTATACCTCCCGATTCGAAGACCTTGCAACTCTTTGTCCCGGAATGGTACCTTCAGAAGACAAGAAGACGGAGAGATACATTTGGGGATTAGCATCGCCAGTCCAAGGTCTGGTTACTGCATCCAGACCCTCAACTTTTGATAGTGCCAAGCAGCTGGCCTATGAGTTGACTGAACAATGTATCCGACAAGGCACCATGGCCCCTGCAAAAGAAAAGAACCAAACTGGGAAATCTAAGAGAAACTTCCAGGGAAAGCCAAAAGGGAACTTCAAACACCGTAAGCGAAACCCAGAGCCTGTAACGGTGTATGCTGCAGTCACAACCACTCCCACTCCAGTAAAACCCTACGCTGGAACTCTACCTCGCTGCCCTAAGTGCAATTATCATCATGTTGGAGACTGCAGGATATGTAGCAACTGCAAATTAAGCGGTCATACCACCAAATTTTGCAAAAAGAACCCAAGCAACACAGTCTCAACTACTACCGCAAGAGAAAGTCGAACCTGCTTCGAGTGCAACCAACATGGACATTTCAGGAAAGATTGTCCTAAGCTGAAGAGACAGGGTGGTCAAGGAAGGGCATTTGTGATAGGTGCGGGAGACGCACGCCAGGAACCAACTGTGGTTACTGGTACGTTTCCTATCAACAATATTTATGCCTCTGTATTATTTGACACTGGTGCTGATAAGAGTTTTATTTCCCACAAATTTAGAAAAATGATTAATCATGAATCATGCAAACTCAATAATGCTTACACGGTAGAAGTAGCCAATGGTCAAATAGAAAGCACCTTAGAAATACTCACCAACTGCCTTCTCACCCTGAATAATCACGTGTTCCCTGTCGACTTAATGCCCATAACCATTGGAAGTTTCGATGTAATCATCGGAATGGATTGGTTATCAGCCCATCGAGCGGAGATTTTATGTTACGAAAAAGCTGTACGATTACCCTTACCAAACGATGAAGTCCTTGTGATTTATGGAGACAAGGCGGGGAAGAACCTACGAGTCATTACTTGCATGAAGGCAAGGAAGTATTTGCAGAAGAGATGCTACGCTTTCTTGGCCCACGTGGTGGATACGCAAGGCAAGGGTAAGGAAATCAAAGACATACCACAAGTGTGTGACTACCCAGACGTATTTCCAGAAGACCTACCTGGAGTACCTCCTATCAGACAGGTTGAATTTCGAATCGACCTTATCCCGGGTGCAGCACCAGTGGCACGGTCTCCTTATCGCCTGGCTCCATCGGAAATGCAAGAACTATCCAGTCAACTTCAAGAACTTCTCGACAAAGGCTTTATTCGGCCAAGCTTCTCTCCATGGGGAGCCCCGGTATTGTTTGTCAAAAAGAAGGATGGTTCTTTTAGGATGTGCATCGATTATCGAGAGTTGAATAAGCTCACTATCAAAAACCGGTATCCACTCCCGAGGATCGATGACCTGTTCGACCAATTACAAGGATCCTGCTACTACTCAAAGATCGACCTACGATCCGGCTATCATCAACTTAGAGTTCAAGAAGCGGATATTCCAAAGACGGCATTCCGAACTAGATACGGTCACTATGAGTTTCTAGTGATGCCATTTGGACTGACCAACGCACCTGCCGTATTCATGGACCTTATGAATCGGGTGTGTAAACCCTACTTGGACAAATTTGTGATTGTCTTTATCGATGACATATTAATATACTCACGAACCAAGGAAGAACATGGCCAGCACTTGCGTTTAATCCTAGAACTACTAAGAAAAGAAAAACTTTATGCAAAGTTTTCTAAGTGTGAGTTCTGGATTAACGAAGTTCATTTCCTCGGTCATGTGGTCAGCAATAAAGGGATTCATGTCGATCCGGCGAAGATTGAAGCTGTCAAGAATTGGAAAGCACCAACAACACCAACCGAAGTACGTCAGTTCTTAGGGCTTGCAGGCTATTATCGGAGATTTATTGAGAACTTCTCCAAAATAGCCAAGCCTCTCACCGCACTAACCCAGAAAGACAAAAAGTTCAACTGGGGAGACAGTCAAGAGTCTGCCTTCCGAAAATTGAAGCAATTGTTATGCAGTGCACCAATTTTGTCTCTTCCCGAGGGAACAGAAGACTTTGTAGTATACTGTGATGCCTCACGTCAAGGGTTAGGGTGTGTACTAATGCAGAGGAATAAGGTTATTGCATATGCATCCCGACAACTAAAGCCAAATGAGACAAACTACACTACCCATGACTTAGAGTTGGGAGCCGTAATATTTGCTCTGAAGATTTGGAGACACTATCTATACGGGACAAAGTGCATTGTATTCACAGACCACAAGAGCCTCCAACACATTTTTGATCAAAAAGAGCTCAATATGAGACAACGGAGATGGGTCGAATTACTAAATGATTATGAATGCGAGATTCGTTATCATCCCGGTAAAGCAAACGTTGTGGCAGATGCCTTAAGCAGGAAGGAACGAGCAAAACCTCTTCGTGTAAAGGCTCTAACCCTAACCATCCACTCGAACCTTACTATTCAAATTCGTGATGCTCAGCTAGAAGCACTTAAACCTGAAAACATCATGGAAGAAAACCTACGAGGCATGGACAAACAGTTCGACCTCAGAGATGATGGAACGCGATACTTCATGAACCGAATTTGGACTCCAAGATTTGGAGAAGTCAGAGATTTGGTTTTAAATGAAGCTCACAAGTCAAGATACTCAATACATCCCGGATCAGACAAGATGTATCTCGATCTCAAGAAGCATTATTGGTGGCCCAATATGAAGGCAGAAATTGCCACTTATGTTGGTAAGTGTTTGACCTGCTCCAAGGTCAAGGCGGAGTACCAGAAGCCGTCTGGCCTGCTACAACAACCATCAATTCCAGAATGGAAGTGGGAACAAATAACAATGGACTTTATAACAAAGTTGCCCAAGACATCAAGCGGTTACGATACCATATGGGTAGTGGTTGACCGTTTGACCAAGTCCGCTCACTTCTTAGCCATCAAGGAAACTGATAAGATGGAAAAACTCACCAGAACTTATCTTAAGGAGATAGTCAGACTACACGGTGTGCCAATATCTATCATCTCGGACCGAGATAGTAGATTTACTTCCAGATTTTGGCAATCATTGCAAAGATCCCTAGGCACAAAACTCGACATGAGTACAGCATATCATCCCCAAACGGATGCCAGAGCGAAAGGACAATACAACTCTGGAAGATATGCTCGCGCTTGTGTGATAGACACACCCCGCTAAAGCGGAAACGCAAGGTATGACAGCGATAACGGTTTCAATGCAAAAGATAAAGATACATCACCATAGCAGTATTTAAAAGTTTACAACCCATAGCTTCAAAAGAAACAAAATACAAGTTTTTCAAAATAACATTGTTCAAAATATAGCTTCATAATAGCTTCAACACGATGCAGCATGCTCTATGATGATGAATCTTTACATCCACTTACTAATTACTTCCTGAAAAAGCATGTAAAACGAGCGTCAACTATGAAAATAGTTGGTGAGTATCACAAGTTTATAAAAATCGAGCGTACAATAAGGCTTTTCGTAAATACAAGTACATTGCTTCAATGAAAACAAGTTGATTGCTATTAATGAATACAAGTTTATTGCTATAACGAGAAACGAGTTTGTATGTGTATGAGCAAACAATGAGTCTCAACCAAACCTATGACTGAAGCCCTATCGAGATCTATGCTTATCGTTCCATAGATGAATATGGTATCATGCACTCCAGCGATTCGGGCGAGTGAGGAGTTGTCAATTCCTAATAGCGCTATCCATAACGACCATTGGCTCAAAGAGTTAATGGTTAGAGATAAGGGAAGGGCCTTAGTACGATAAGTTCTCATGTTCCGTGTTGCATAGACATACATAAAGAAACATAGCAATACAATAGCAATCATGTTTGATACAATTCAATTTAAATACAACATGCAAACAGTAGTTTTTCTGGACATGCTTTTCCACCCCAAAACATAAAAACCGAAAATAGGGGAGTGCGTGAATACTCACGATGTTTTGTGTAGACACAAGCGGTACTTCGGGATGCACCAACGTCTTACTACCGGGATCCTACGACATCAAACACACGCACTAGTGAGTTTCCATGTCGATATCTAATGCTAATATACTAAACTCTACATATAGGGAAATGCCAATTTATGTTTTAGTATTGGATTTTATATCAATTAGTTACACTTTTTCTGAAGTAATGAAATTCTATATATCGGGCGATTAATTACAACCTTGGAATAAACTTTCCAAATTTTAAGTCCTTATTACAACATAAATTCACGAAAATAGCATTCGAGGGATAAAAATTCTCAAACTTTTTATTTAACTGTTATTACACAATACTAAGCTGGGAAAATTATAAAAATGGATTTCCAAGCTGTTTAATTATATTTTATGATTTTTGAGCATTTATTTCAATAAAAATTGAAATAAATAGAAAACAGTTTCCAAAATTACCCAAACTTTTTATTTAATTGTTATTATACATAAATAGGCTGGGAAAAATATAAAAGATATTTTTCAGTGGGTATTTCTATTTTTCCTTGCTTTATTCCTTTAAATAGTCATTAATTAAAGAAATAATATTAAACAGTTAAAATAAATCACCATAAATTTTTGTAACATCATTTACAGTATAAATATCCTGGGAAAAATATCAAAAGTGGTTTTCATAATGTATAAACTGGTTTTGGGTATTTATGTATATTTAAGTGTATTTTAGTGCAATTAACTTTAGAAAATAAGAGAAAAATAGTTTACAGTAGAGAAAAATATTCAAAATTTTTATGTAACCTCCTACTCTATAATATTATATCCTGGTAAATTTTCATGAATTTTGGATAATCAGAACTATTTCTCCCATTTTTAGACCATTATAATTACCAAAAATTGGGAAAAATAGTAAAACATGATGGAAAATCTTGAAATTATTTTCTGGAGTCACCCATCACAGGTAAGGTATGCGAAAATTGTTAGATACAATTTTCACATCCTATAAAGTGGTTTTGTAATTTATCATGTCCTAAATAAAAGAAAATTAGAAATCATATGAAACAGTAACAAAAATTGCTGAAATTTGGTGAGGGGTCATTATTCCCCATAAGGATCATCCATGAATTTATTTAGGATTTATTGACCTCTGGAAGTATTTTATATGATTTATGCCCTTGGTTTTAGCAATAATTCTAATAAATCAAAGAAATAACAAAAGCTCTTGAAATTTTCCAGATTATCTCATGCATGCAAGGGCTTTCAAAAGGAAAAATGTAAAAAAATGTATTCAGAAGAGAAATGAGGGTAATGATTCAAACAATTTAAGAAAAGTTGCATGCAATAATGCATGAAGTGTAAATGTGGCTGAAGTTCATGAATTTGTGTAGCCCATTCAGTGAGGTTTTA